GCACACCCCGTGACACTCGGCTTTAGGAACAGCAGACGCCCGTGACACTCGGCTTTAGTAACAGCACACCCCGTGACACTCGGCTTTAGTAACAGCAGACGCCCGTGACACTCGGCTTTAGAAACAGCAGACCCCGTGACACTCGGCTTTAGTGACAGCACACCCGTGACACTCGACTTTAGTAACAGCACACTCCGTGACACTCAGCTTTAGTAACAGCAGACGCCCGTGACACTCGGCTTTAGTAACAGCAGACGCCCGTAACACTCGGCTTTAGAAACAGCACACCCCGTGACACTCGGCTTTAGAAACAGCACACCCCGTGACACTCGACTTTAGTGACAGCACACTCCGTGACACTCAGCTTAGTAACAGCAGACGCCCGTGACACTCGGCTTTAGTAACAGCAGACGCCCGTAACACCTCGGCTTTAGAAACAGCAGACCCCGTGACACTCGGCTTTAGAGAAACTGCACACCCCGTGACACTCGGCTTTAGAAACAGCAGACCCCGTGACACTCGGCTTTAGAAACAGCAGACGCCCGTGACACTCGGCTTTAGTAACAGCAGATGCCCGTGACGCTCGGCTTTAGGGACAGCAGACGCCCCGTGACACTCGGCTTTAGAAACAGCAGACGCCCGTGACACTCGGCTTTAGTAACAGCAGACGCCCGTAACACTCGGCTTTAGTAACAGCAGATGCCCGTGACACTCGGCTTTAGGGACAGCAGACGCCCGTGGCACTCGGCTTTAGTAACAGCAGATGCCCGTGACACTCGGCTTTAGGGACAGCAGACGCCCGTGACACTCGGCTTTAGAAACAGCAGACGCCCGTGACACTCGGCTTTAGTAACAGCAGACGCCCGTAACACTCGGCTTTAGTAACAGCAGATGCCCGTGACACTCGGCTTTAGGGACAGCAGACGCCCGTGGCACTCGGCCTTAGAAACAGCAGACCCCGTGACACTCGGCTTTAGTAACAGTAGACGCCCGTGACACTCGGCTTTAGTAACAGCAGGACGCCCGTGAAACTCGGCTTTAGAAACAGCAGACGCCCGTGACACTCGGCTTTAGTAACAGCAGACGCCCGTGACACCCGGCTTTAGTAACAGCAAACGCCCGTGACACTCGGCTTTAGAAACAGCAGACGCCCGTGACACTCGGCTTTAGAAACAGCACACCCCGTGACACTCGGCTTTAGAAACAGCAGACGCCCGTGGCACCCGGCTTTAGAAACAGCAGACCCCGTGACACTCGGCTCTAGTAACAGCAGACGCCCGTAACACTCGGCTTTAGTAACAGCAGACGCCCGTGACACTCGGCTTTAGAAACAGCAGACGCCTGTGACACTCGGCTTTAGTGACAGCACACCCCGTGACACTCGGCTTTAGAAACAGCAGACGCCCGTGACACTCGGCTTTAGTAACAACAGACGCTCGTGACACTCGGCTTTAGTAACAGCAGACGCCCGTGACACTCGGCTTTAGAAACAGCAGACGCCCGTGACACTCGGCTTTAGAAACAGCAGACCCCGTGACACTCGGCTTTAGAAACAGCACACCCCGTGACACTCGGCTTTAGTAACAGCAGACGCCCGTGACACTCGGCTTTAGGGACAGCAGACGCCCCTGACACTCGGCTTTAGTAACAGCACGCGGGCGTGATAGGCGCCCCAGGTGATGCTTCGCTGCGTGAGCAGCCAGGCGCCGTGAAAAGCGGCGGCGTGTGCCCATCGTCACTGTGTTAGGCGGCAATGGCTTTAATTGTTGGCTGTGGTCTGTCTTAGAAATGGTAAACAGCTGCAAGCGTCATGCTAGACAGCTGACGGGCCTGCGCTTGTCAGAGGCGGATCCAGGAGTTTTGATCGGGGGAATATTTTCCCTAAGGGCGGCACGGGTGTCAGGTGCCGTCAGTGTAAGCAAAACGAGCATATGCGGCATGTTAATATAGGGCATGCCTTTTATACAGACTGGTGCGCAGATTCCCAGGGTTCGAGTCTAGTCCAATCCCGTCCCACGAGAAGATAAGAAGCGCGCCAATAGCAGGGCGCGAGAGGTCGCAGTTCTCATTAATAATCCCACTGAACACGATGCATGGCGATTTTTACGAAAAATGGGCCTGGCCTCATTCGCGAAATTTGCTCAACATCGTCGAAATGCCTACGTCCATAAGCTATCTCTACATCGTTCCCAAAAGTACTTCAGCACGTTTTTCACTCAACGAGCGCGTTTTTTCATGAATTCCCAAACGCAAGTGTTTGTGAAGATCTCACCTCAGTATCACACGGCATGACGTCATGAATGCTGACATACCAGACAGGATGACTGTCGAAATAATTTCTCCATCCGCTGTAGTAACACCTCGTGTCGAAATAATTTTTCCATCCGCTGTAGTAACACCTCGTCTTAATCATTCAGTGGAACTGCATCGCGGTGAAGTTTATTACTGAAGATAATGCAAGTTTTAACGGTAGATCTCACTTCAAATCACAGATCGCCCCCAATCAACGCGCGTTCTGCTAACCGGGATACCCTCGATCTTCTTTGAGCGATTTTCCAGAGCGTCGGTTTCCATTGGGACCAGGGGTATAGTTTTCTTTTCAGTTGGGTGTGGGGGGGGGGGCGGCTTCAAGCCTCAAATTAAGCTCCAGCCACCTGGCCAAAGCTGGGAAGGAACCTGTTTGTTAGCGAATTTTGGGGTTAGGTTTCGTAACTGTTCACGGTTCAGCCTCCTCCCCCCCTCCCTCCAACTTACTTTGCGAGACTACTCTACATATCGCTAGAGAGGGGCGCAGAGGACAGACGAGACTACGCCCCTTTTCTGTACAGAGGGCTCTGATTTTCCGTTTTAAGCTTCGCGTGATATTAAGCGTGATTGCTTTACATATCGCCTTCATGAAGGCAGTGTTACTTTGCAACTGACTTTCCCGCAAGATCGGGGTCGTCCACTTACGAAAGAGCAGCATTTTTGTCCCAATCACCGCCCATGTCATTGGTCATTGGTCAATCAATGGTCATTGTCAGGGACATATTGTGGGGAAACCAGAACGGGGCCATTATTTCATTACCGGGTCCACTTCAACTCAAGGGGCGGCCATGAATAAATGGGCACCTATTTTGTGAAGGCAGCTACACGTACCGGCACCATGGCGTCGCTTTGAGAAGTGTGCCACGTTTCTGAGATTAGAGAGGGAACAAATCAGGATTGGCAGTTGGGGTGGGGGGCGGGTGGGGTGGGGGATGGCAAGCCGTAAATTAGGGACAACCTTGCCTAAAGTCGCTATTTTGTATACGGAAATGGTAGTAAAATGCGCTCACGGACCGAATTAGATAAGGATATCCCACGGGGGGGGGGGGGCATTGGTGGCATACGTATCCCCCGTCCCCTCAAGTGGTTACGCCAATGGCGGGCGCTCCGCTCAGATGACAGAGGGATAGGACGTAAATTCAGTTAAGTCTTATGGTGCCCTCGACCTCTCAAAACAATACTGTTTACTGCACTTCCTGCTCTGGGCGACACCAAAGTCTTCGGACTGCACGTCTTTAATCCTGCAGCTGCAGAAAATGCGGGTAGAAAAGGGATGGCACCTACGGAATGCGGATATGCAGAAACTTTGATATACAACGATAAATGCAATCCAATGGTTTAGCTTTCTATGAATAGCGCTTACTGGGCCCTTCGAGCATATCGTTGAGCAGTTCCGAAGACAATGACCGGAAAAAATATTCAGCAATTCGTTTGTGTCTCGTGAAAATAGGATGTGCAGTACGATCTCCGTTTCGTTGAAAGGGAAATACAATCAGACGCTGGTCATATCGTATATTTACAAGCCGTTTCCAGTAGCGTGGGCTGATCAGAGGGTGTCTGACACGCTTTTGTCCCTGAGGTATAAAGTCGAATCGCTACTCTTCGTCAATTGGACAATGTCAACGGACATAACTGTTGAATGCCCTTGCCAGCCGCTATAAAGGCAGAAAATTAAAACGAACATTGCTTGTCAGCACGCTTATGTCAAGCACCAAAGCCTGTGGGGCGAAAACAACTGGTTGTGCTGCAGCAGTGTGCTGCCGTTTCACCGACGCTGCGGGCTCTCCGTTGTTTTCTACAATAGTAACATTACTCCGATGGCGGCCGGGGTGAGTAATGGCAGCTCGTGTTCCGGCCGCCCGCTCGATTGTTTTGATAAGCGGCGGCGACGCTCGGTCAATAGAAAATTGGTGGTGGATCTTGTATCGCGTGCAGCGTCAGGCCGCTCCTCACCCCCCCCCCCCCCCCCCCTCTCACCGCCCCCCCCCCGCGGCGGCGCGCGGCGAACTTTCCTGGCGCAGATCCAACTGTTTGCCACCTGTAAATTTATGGATACTAAAGTGAATGCTTGAACTTAATTATGCGCGATTAGGCGAAATGGAGGTACATTTATCCGGACAGTCCGCTTTGAAATGGTCATGGGCCGGGTCTAATGGACTGTCACAAGTCTTCTGAGGCGGGCTCTGGCGACACGCAGCAGCGGAACATCGCACTGGAATGCCACGGCATCGGCTGAACAGCACGGCGGCGCGCCGCCGCCAGCCTGGCCGCCAAATTTAGCCGGGACTGTCAGGGAATGTTCGGTGCAGATATTGGATTTTGAGCTGTAATAAAAGTTCAGTCTGTTGGCTGAACTGGCACGATCAGAAGCACGCACACCTTGATGTACTGGGAGGTGAATGATGGTTAATGCAGGATGGCGTGTTCAGATGCTGCCAGGCTCAGACGTCCACGCCCAGTCTACTGTGGCTTAATGAAAACCGTGCTTTGGTGATGTGTTCATCAGGTGTACGCACCGCAAAAATGCGCCACTACTAATTTCCATTCACGAACGTGTGTATGTTGTCGTTCTCGTTCATGACAAGCCGTGGCAATTCATGTCGCATTGTCGCATGTCAGTTTCGAAGCCAGCTGTCGCCCGGTTGCTCAGCCACGTGACGCGATCTCTCTCTCTCTCTCTCCCTCTCTTCCAGAACTCTCTGCTGCGGGCCTTGCGGCCTTGGCCACGGCAGGAGGTCATCCTCAGACGGGCCGGGCGGCAGCGGCTGTCGGAAGGACAGTGGCGGACACCCCCGCTGGAAGGCACTCCCCACGCAGGTGACCGTGCGGGCACAGTGCCTGGGCCTAATGGCGGACTGCGTTCAATAGATGTGCATCCTATGAGGAACGAGCAAAAACTTATGATGCATGTGGTGGTCATACCCTTTCCACGGTGCATAGGTATGCAGAGGTATTTGAAGTCTTACTATTCATCCTCCACTGAAGAAAGTATTGTCCAAAGTAGGCTAGAAGTGATCGGGACATATTTTACAGACGCGTACAATGTTCCGATGACATGCTTGTTATTAAAGTTGAATTGTCTGTGATATATAGAAACTAATCATTTCCTGGAACGTATATTACATACTGCGGATTTCCTCGGTAAGTGGCTTATGTCTGTTCATCACACTCGAAGGCTCGGTCACTTTGAATGCCAATGCCTTACCGAGCTGGTGCGCTCAGCATCAAAGTTACTCTGCTAGTTTGTCACGCCAATGACTTATCGAATTGGTACACCTAACTTCTAAGGAATGCGCCCGGAGACTGAGGCAGCCGGGTCATCTGCAGGCTCGGTGCGACCGTTCTGGGCATCGCCCGCGCCCCGCAGCACCAGCGCGATGTTCACTGCAGTGGCCCGTTTCAGGCTCGGCGGAAGGCCCGGCGGCGGCCGCTGCGGAGGATCCGGAGGATCCGGAGGAGCCGGCTGCGCCGTCGCCCCGTTCGGCGCCGGCCGGCCTCGGAGCGGTGCCGGGCGGGGCGCGGCCGGCGCGGGGCATCGACTTCCTGGAGTGCGTTTCGCGCCGGACCGGGCTGCCGCGCTGGCTGGTCGGCCTCGTGCTCACCGCCGCCCTGCTGGCCACCGTCTGGTTAACGGCCTCCTTCCTGCTGCCGCTCACGGCTGTCCCGGTCAGTCACGTGCTGCTCCTCACTGCTGTCCCTGTCAGTCACGTGCTGTCGCTCACTGTTGTCCCGGTCAGTCAAGTGCTGTCCCTCACTACTGTCCCTGTCAGTCACGTGCTGCCGCTCGCGGCTGTCGCGGTCAGTCACCTGCTGTCCCTCACTGTTGTGTCGGTCAGTCACCTACCGTCCCTCACTACTGTCCCTATCAGTCACGTGCTGTCCCGGTCGTGCTGATCCTCATTGCTGTCCTGGTCAGTCACGTGCTGTCCCGGTCAGTCACGTGCTGCCGCTCACGGCTTTCCCGGTCAGTCACGTGCTGTCCCCCACTGGTGTCCCGGTCAGTCACGTGCTGCCGCTAACGGGTTTCCCGGTCAGTCACGTGCTGTCGCTCATTGCTGACTTCCGCCCTTTCTGTGAACAGCGCCACAGACCCCTGATTCACACTTCAGTTCCTTACTCACGCTATGTTCCACTGACTCACGCCATGTTTCTCTGAATCACTTAACAGTCTTACAGCGCCTGGTTTATGTAGAAGTCCTCTGACTTGCACACCGGCCCCTTGGAAGGTATTGCTGTCTTTTGACTCACCTATATTCCTCAATCTCACGAATCCTTCCAATTGCGCTGAAGTCCACTGACAAGCTTACTAGTTTTTTTATGACACGATGTAGTCATCAGAATCTCGTTGTAGTTTCCCTCAGGTCAGCAGTCCCCCGGCTCCAACTATATAAAGTCCCTATCTTCAGGCCGTGGTCCTCTGAACCACTCTGTAGTCACCTGGTTCAAGGTGAAGCGTGGCTTACGTTGTAGCTCCCCGACGCGACCAGTAGTTTCTGGATCAAGCTGTGGCCTATCGGCTATGGCCGTAGGCCCCCGGCTCGCAGTCTTATCCTATGACCTCAGCTGTTGCCCCATAGCTCAGACTGCAGCCTCTGGATCGAACTGATGTTCACTAGTCCTCGCTGTAGTCACTCGATCCAACATGCAGTCCCCGGGCTATCGCCTTAGTCCCGTGGATCAAGTATGAGCTATCCGGCTCGGGCTGTTGTTCATGCATTATACTTTAGAACCACGATTTAAGTTGTTTTCCCTCGATCATATTGTAGTCCTACGCATTATGAAACCATGGTTTCCCTCTTCGTTTGTTACCGTTTGGCTCAGGGTGCATTTTATTTTACTTGCGCGTATGTCCTACGTATTATGGAACCGTTGCTTCCTCTCTGAATCCGTTTGCTACCGTTTGGCTCAGGCTGAATTATTTTTACTTCCCTGTCATGTCATGCCATTTACTTCGCTTCGCGCTGTCATGATCTGCATCAATCTGAAGTCACCTGTAGCTGGCTGCATACAGAATCAAACTCCAATCGCCTTACGGGGCAACTACCTTACGCTGTAGTTCCCTGGATCACTGTCTCGAGGTCCCTGGCCTACATCGCACTCATGCTAGAGAAAAAATGCTGGCAATCAACACTGCATCCATCTGACAGGAAATAAGTAAACATTCCATCCACTTCGATTATTGTGGTCCGTTGATATCTCACTAGCTTAATCATTAATTTACATGTGCGTGAATGTTTGGCGGGTTCGACAACGCGGCATTCTCCCTTTCTGGCATCGTTCGCCACAATGGTCTTCTTGCTGACTTCTACAGTCAGCTTTTGTGGTCAGATCATCCGACCAGCTGTTTGTTGAAAGGATCAGCTGTTTTTGCCCGGTTCGTGTTTCGTCGAAATTGGATGGGCTCGCTTTAGAAGCGTCATTTGTGGGAGACATGATACTCAGGCCGCCGATTTGTGGGTTCGTGTCATCCGCATCGTGCTGCAACGAAAACTCGGCTTAAAATAGATGCAGAAGGGCCTTGATTTTGTTGCCGTGATGTCAGTTTTCCAATATGCGGTGGTGGTTGAGATGGCAGGGTCTTTCGTGCATATTGCATGTGGTCGCAACATGGTGAACATGTCATGCAACTGATCCATTACTTGCGCCGATTGCTTCATAACACGTTACGGGAGGCATTTTCTGGATTCCTTGCGAAACCCTAATCAACTTCGGAAGCCAACAGCTTTTAGAAACGTCGCAATCAAATCGATTTCTACGAAAATTGCTAATGAGCTGGAAGGGAATCGAGCTTAACATGTTGTCATAATTATCGAGTGGTAGGTCGGGCAAGCAACATTACTCAAACCAGACGCTTCATTCATAATCACAAAGCGTAAAACAGCAGACTGGGCCTGTGTATTACATGCATCGCAAAAACTGCATGGATTTGCTTTAACTGTATACACTTTTCTTCGAAAGATAGGTTTCAAAGGGCTGCATCGCCACAACTTTTAGCTTTTAGCATTAAGCCGTGCGAGAATATATGTTTTAAACTGTCATCACCAGAAATCATCGCTGCAATCGACTAAATATTTTCTTTCGATTTGTGGTCGGTGTCAAGTAAAACAAGACTCACTATTAACACACGCAGCGCGCAAGACGTTGACGGATGGGCAACTGTTGTCGGGCGCCGTTCCGTGCGGCGAAACTGTACCAAAGCGAGACGCGCGGGGCACCGATGTTCGCCCTCCCCCGCACGCGGCACCTGCGCCAGCTGTCAGCATGCTCCCGAGCCGGAAAACTTCGCAGCTTCAGCCCGCCCGCCGACCGCGGGCCAGTTTTGAGCCCATTAACCAGATGAGACAGGCCCGCATCGGCCATTCTCCCGGGAGAGCGCTGAGCCCGAGACAACGGCCGGCTTCACTGGCCCCATCACGCGGACGTAACTTCTGCTGGTAATGGCGGCGGGGACGCGTCCCACGCCCGCCCAGCGCGCGCTATCGTGGCCCAGCCATCACTCGCCCCTAGGCATTGTTTATATCTTCCGTGTTGGTTCAGTGTGAAAATAGCGGTAATATATATATATATATATATATATATATATATATATATATATAAATTTCATTGTTGCATGCTGGTTACCCAGTCCCTGCCTGGTGTTTATCAGTGTACCTGTTGCTTACCTGTGTGATTTAATGGCCATGCTTTCTCCAACAGATAGGGCAAACGTTTAATGAATTGCTTGTTGTAAAAAAAACAAGAGCTATCTTTGAACATCTATGATCTATGTACATTAAAACACACACACAACACACCACAAACACACACACACACACACACACACACACCACACCACACACCACACACACACACACACACACACACAAACCACACACACACACACACACACACACACACACACCACACCACCCCACCACACACCAACACACACACAACACACACACACCCACACCAAACACACCACACACATTATCTCTCTCTCCTTCTCTCTCTCTCTCTCTCTCTCTCTCTTCTCTCTCTCTCTTCGTCTTCTCTCTCTCTCTCTCTCTCTCTCTTCTCTTCTCTCTCTCTCTCTCTGCTCTCTCTCTCTCTCTCTCTCTCTCTATCCTCTCTTCTCTCTCTCTCTTCTCTCCTCTCTCTCTCTCTCCTCTCTCTCTCTTCTCTCTCTCTTCTCTCTCTCTTCTCTGTATGCGTACACGCACACACACACACACAAACGCATATTCTATCATATCATAATACAAACACATATTTCGTCATATATCATACGGATGTGATATGGTGATATGATGACATTCTTGATTTCCGCGAGTACCAGTCTCGTGCCGCGCACCGCGGCACTGTACCTCGATATGCGGCGGGGGTGTCAGACAAAATAAACGACTGTTTTGACTGGCGCGATCATGGCTGCAGCACTTGCAAAGACTGGCGGGGACAGTAATACCGGACGTAAGCAAGTTAACGCAGCATATACACACTGCTTACATCAGTGGCATCCGTATAATAAGGTGCTTCAAATTCGAGTTCCACTTCACACCCATGCGTTTCGTGCTCGTGCATCATTTCTCACGCCACTTTTTACAGCTCCTGGGATTTCAACAAAATGGAGCTCCAGGTCATTTCTTTTCTATGTGTATTTCAGAAATCGCGTGATACTCCCCAGACAAGTGGGCAAACTACATCGTAGCGATTCGGCTTTAACTCGTGCGTCCATTTGTCGTCTGCTACCTGTTTCATCGCTGCTCAATGAAGGCTCTGGAGCGCACCATAGAGCTGCCTTTTGGGAACCTGTTTCTCAATATTTAAATCATTTATAGACGCTTTGCTTGTATGCATATTTGACCGACGAATATTCAGTATGTTCAGGAACCTTCGGCGCGTTATAATTTTGTCGAAGTATCTTCTGGGATCTTGGATCTGTTCCATGATGTTACATAAGAGTCCTTTAGATCCAAACTTAAGCTAGCATTCTATTGAGCTATGCTACGCACCCGTGCGGCCATGAAATCATGTCGGGCAATTTTCATAAACCTCTCACTTAACAAATGGAAAACACATTTCAAAAAGCACCTTGACAGCGGCCAAAATTTGAGGTGTACACACTTTTTACAGCGTAAAATCACGCACATTTGCCATGGACACAACACATTGAAAGAACAGCATTATCTGCTACCGGTCATGTCTTCACTTGTCCCTAGAATAACATCGAAACATTGTAAACGCTAGCACGTTTACGTTAAAGCACGACTTGAAATCAGTTCAACTCTTTGGATCTTTAGTCTTCCAGGATTGAGAAAAGTTGAAATTATTGAAAGACTTCCCTAGATATAGGATTTAGGTCCAAAATAGTCCTAAGCATCGTCCGGAACATTTGATCTATACTGTGATTTAATTATAGTGCCATTTGAGGCTCTGGATCTTTTTTATATTTGTATGAGCACGGTCGTAGCTATTGTTTG